TTTTTATATGACATTCTGCATGACAAATTTTTATAACAAACTTCTAGCCTATGTGTTTTCTGATACTATAATATTTGAATTTTCTTTTGTACTAGATTATTTAACGTTTAGTTATTCGTAAAATTGTTAAATTGGCCCTTCTTGTGGCATTTTTCTTTTACTTTCATGCTTCTACTTCGAACCTAAACTTTATTTTCTTGACATGCTTCTCGTTTACAATGTATTAGTTAAATTTTGACTGATAATGTTTTAGTTTTTATATGAAATAACTATGAAAGGAGATTTTTATTTTTCTTTAAAAGTAATTTATGTCTTTCTTAGAGTCTACATTATAATTTCATGAAATTTTCTCTGCTATTACTCGGTGTCGTTTCTTGAGATACAGTGTGTTCATTTCACTATATTGCTTACAATAAACAACCTAGTTTTGAGGGTAGGTGAGACACAATTTACAAAATATGTCATATCTTAATTGTCAACGCTACTTAAAGTCTGCTGTAGTCCGCAAAGTAGTTGTTTCCCACAATGTCATTATTTAAAACGGAACCTAGTTGTTTTAATTATTATAATTTTCCTGTAGAATAGCTAATTTCAATGAAATTACTGTGTGAACTTACAAGATATTATCAAGTTTTTGAAATTATGTAGTAGGTGTTTGAATATGGAAACGTACTTGATCTCTTCACTTTAATAATTTGTACCATCCCATCTAATGTCTGATTTTACCAATAGGTCTCTCGGTTTTCTTTACTACACAATCCTCCTTTGTTGCGAAACATACTCTCTATTACCGTTCCCCTATAAGAAAGCTATAATAATCGATAATAGGGCCTGATGTTGCTTAATAATAATAGTACTATTGTCGCACATTGCGAAACTACAAACACTAGAATCCTTATATCCACGAGACTTATAAATATCTTCATTTAATTTTTATCTCGGAAATATCACTACCCAAACACGAACTAGGATTATTTCCACGCGAAATGTTAAATATTCATAAATTATGGTGTATCTGACGCGACACAGCCTTTATATCGTACACGTAAACAACTTTCATTCGTTAAACATATAAATTTCATCAAAATATGGTAAAAGAATAGTTTTTTATATGAAACATTTGTTTGTTAAAAAAATATTTATTTATGTAACTTACTTTAATATTAAAGGAACATAAATTAACACCGAATATTTATAATTTGTTAGTAAACACAATTAGTTAACAATTAACGTTAAATAGTAAATAGAAGATATTCTTAACATAAACAAGATAGACTTGTAAGAAATTATTTTTGTATTATATTTAACATATTCAAATATTATCAAATAACATATCTAAATATCAAATAATAATATTATTATAATATCTAAATATACGTTTAATATTTATATAAAAGCTGGGCTTTTCAAGATTTTAAACTTATTAGGACAAACAGAACTTATTTAACAGAAACTAATGTTTGCCGTAGGTTACCTGAACATGTTAAAGTTTCTTTGTTTTCTAACATACTGAGTTGAAATTTTACACCTGCTTTTTGATGACGATATAAAATTCGATAAAATATGCGGTTTTAGTTTGACGATGTTCCATCGTTCTATAATCAGAATGTGCGAAACCACTTAAACGAAATCTTTCTTAGCTGCTACACTAGCAGAGGACAAAATGCGGCTCTTGGCCACGTAGTTCCCCCGATCTAGAGCCAGTGAACTTTTGTTTATGAAAGTTTATAAAAAATTCATTTATAAGATTTCAATATTAAGTAACAACATTTACGAGAACGAATTGTAAAAGGCACAGAGCACTACAAGTAGATACCACAGATTTTTCAGCACATTCAATTGTTTCTTGTTAAAATACGTGGAATATTTGCGAAGATGGTAGGCATATCGAACACCTCTTTTAGTGCCTGTCCCATTGTTGATTAAATATTTTTTATGATTCACACACTCCCAAGAGATCTATTACCTTTGGATAATTTCTAAAATAATAATAATACAAGATATGATAATGTCAAACTCAAACCTCGTCAGTAGTTTTAATTTAAAAACACTTTCTTAAGAGTAATTCTAAACCTGGTACAAGTTGCGGATTCCTCTTAGGCAACTAAAGTCTATAACTTCTGAAACCAATTCTTAAAAATAAATTTTACAAGAGATAGTAATAGGAAAATGATATTATAGTAGCAAGAACAATATCAGCATCAGCAACAACAACCGCAAAAGCAGTAGCAGCAGCCGCAGTAACAACAGATCCAACAGCAGCATAAACGACAACAGCAGCAGCAATAACAACAACGACTATAACAACAGCAACAGCAGTTGCAGCACCACAACAACAGCAACAACAGCAACAACAGCAGCAACAACAGCAGCACCAACAGCAACAAGAACAACAACAATGACTACAGCAGCAACAGTACCAATAACAACAACAGAACAGCAACAGCAGCAGTAGCAGAAACAACAACAATATTGAACAGAACAACATTAAAAACACCAATGACAACATCTTGCACATCGATTTTTTTTTAATCAGAACAGCTCAAAATTGCCCAAATCAAAAATGATATGATCCCATTATTTTTGTCCAAGACATCTGTGGTTAACGGCTTCAGCTTCCAATTTGTGACACATTTGTATTCTCATACACCACAATCTTGAACTAGGTCTATTTCTGCTAAGAAATTTATACTTGGCACGAAAATACTAAAGGCTAAGGACAGAATTGTAGCCACCAGTAGAAATTATGCTCCACCGACAATGTAGAACACCTATATGCATGTCGAGCGTGTAATATTGAAATATATAATTCACATCTTAATGGGACAGTTATTACGTCAATTGCCGTAAAATTTGTAATTCAATGCAGTCACACTGTCATACTCCGGATTTATCTGTTGATGCATAAATTCCATTGTGGATACTTAAGGCGCTAAATGTTTTTGTACCTAATATCTGTTATAAAAATAAAGTTGAACATCTGCTGATTCTCAACACTAAGTTTGTGGCCTTTAAAAAATAGCTTAGATATACACAGTGCAGTGACTTAAAAACGGCGTCAAAATTTGTAGATTTGTTTTTTGAACTGACATATTTCAGTCAATTTGTTGCAAAAAAACTTCCCTTTATTCATGTTTCTGCAGCTTTGTATCTGTATCTGTATGTATATACAGGATGTTAATGAACTTATGTCAAAAATTTAAAGGGGCTGAAAAAGGAGCAAAAACTGATTTAACTGATGTCACAAACTTGTATCGGAAGTTTAAGGTCATAGAGAAAAAAACTAATTAAAAATGTCTTTAAAATTGTTTTGGAACTTACTTATAAAAATTCTGTAACACTTTTTACGAATTTGTAGGTTTGTTATGAAGAAGGGCTGTATTCGAAAGTCAGTTTGTAATACATTGTTGCAGTGATTGCTGTGCTGTTTTTCGAGAGTACATTTAATAGCCGCATTTCCAAATTTTCTTTTGAAAACATTTGTTGGGGTAGCGCAAAGAGTTTTGGACTCCGGTGGAGTACAACCGCGTCGAGGTCGCGACGGTAAAAGCGACCAATAAAAATCTTCGATGAAGATCCGCATCGTAGTACCAGAAATATCGCATAGCAAGTAAATATTTCGCATCCTTTTGTGTGGCGGACATTTCATATTCAACGTGTTCAAGGGCTTACTTCTGAGGATTTTCCACTACGTCGAGGTTTTTGCGAATGGTTGCTACAGGAACATGCAAGAAATCCTAAATTTACAGCGCNTTACCTGTTTAAAATGCCAGCACGAGTAAAACAGCATTCATCCGTCCAGAGCACTTTGTTAATAAAGTTCTGCCGCACTTAGGAACCAACTGCAAAATTCAAGACGATTGGGGAAATCAGCTGCTTTTAAAGCTTGAACTTTTTGAAAATGTGTTATGTTAACTCGTTTACGGGAAAAATGCGGGAGATATGGAGGGTGATAGATTTGAATAAACGCTTTAAATTGTTAGGTAATGGTTTTGTAACCGTGTGTAGTGTATTTTGTATATTTGGGTATTTAGTGTGCAGATTTTTTTTATTTGATAAAATACAGTGTGCCTACAAAACTCTGCTTTATTTATTTTCTTTTAACGAAGTTGACTTCGAGAAGTCAGGCTTGTTAAAATATTTTGCACTAAATTATTAAAATTAGTTATAATAAAATGCAGCACGATCCTTTATTTACTTGCATTTTATTGGTTTCGTACATATGTATCCGTATACTAAAGCGGATTAATTAAATGTGAACACAGATTATGATGTGAACTTGGCAACGCTGTTTGCTTCAGCTGACGATTTGTTCGTGACATTACGTTACAAAATTTTCCAAGCATCAGGGCATCTGGCAAGGCCGCCTTCTTAGCGGGAGTTATGCGGTAATTTCCTTAATTTTTAAAAGTTGAGTAAAAAATTTTTTTCCGATTTTCTGTCTTTATTAAGTCTTCCGAATACGTGATTAAAATTAATGACATTATGACTGAATCACCCTGTATACAATGTACCTATACATCAAAAGAAAAGTTCACTACTAAATTTTGTACACATCACTACCACACTTGATACACATTTTAGTACATATTTTTTTAGTGCACATATTAGTACACATTTTTGACTCAAAGAAAGCGGGCTTTGGCTCAAAGAAAGGTAGGTTTTGGCATTTGATGACTTTATAATTTATCTCCGAAACCATGCATTATTGCAAAATTTTACAAGGGCAATAATCTTTTCAATTGCCGTCATTTTTTCACTCTAAACGATCTAAATTTACATTTTCTCTGGCTATGAAAATATAGGTCAAGCGGTTATATCTTCATAAGGAGTCAGAATTGACCCTTACTTTATTTGGCCTTTTTGTGTTAATTTTTACCAAGAAATATCCTGTCGAATACATTGTATATTGTATGTTTAATTTCACATTGGGCAACAAATACATACAAATACTTAATTTTTAACGAACGATATTGTGGGAAACAACTACTCTGCGAACTAATGCCCTGAATACCACTCAATACCTAATACCCGCAACATAACAACCGTATTACCATTCTACGCCAAACACCCTGTGTACTATTTATGTTAACGTTGCTTACGTTCCACGCGCGTTTTATTATACACTCACAAGAAAATAAATTCATCGTCGGACATTTGTCGCTGCATCTCATAAGAAGAAAGACATTATTATTTCGTCAGGTAGATTCTATTCCGTGAAGTTGGTCGTAAGAGACATATTATTCACATAACTTCGCATGATGGTTATTTCTAAGGACGCTTGAAAAATGAATAGTAATAATAATAAGTTATGCTGATTCTCATTTAGACGAAAAGTGGTGTTTGCTCATAGACAAAACAAAAAAATGTTATATATATACGATATAGCTAGAACATAAACAAATTTCAAGAGTGGGAAGGTGGTGATGAACGTCGTTTGGAAATAATCAGAATTGTGAATTAGTATAATTTTGTTGGATTTATTCATTTTCTATTTTGCTATAGGACATACATGACTGTATTAAAGAAATACTAATAAAATATCAAAACTTCATAGATTTTCTACAAAAATGTTTAAAATATATTGTAGTTCTTGTTACCATATCACTATACAAAAATTTAAAAATTCTTTTGTAAATATTTACATATTTCTAGAAATTGTCTTGGGGCACCGAAAAAAAATAACCCCAACTACACTTTGCAATAAGGAGTATACAATGTGTAAGAAGTTTGACTGCCATTGCTTCAGCATGGGATAGAGTAATCATAAATGAACAAAAAAGTTCTATATTACAGGGCGGTAAGATTAACAGTTTTCAAAATACAGCGAGCATTAATATCGGGGAGTTTCATCACAAAAAAATGTAAACAACTATTATTGTGAAACATTTAGTAAATTTCAAGACAATTGTTTTCCAGTTTTTAAATAAATAAAATAAAAGGTATCCATTTTGTAGTACGAAGATAATGCTGTGCTTAAATTTTAGCTCGAATTTTAGTAATTATGAATCTCTTAAAACAAGAACTTAACTTTACGTATTTGAAAAATATGTAATTAAAGTACCCAAAGATTCATATCGTCCAAATAATTATACGTATTAAAAATAATTTAGTACTTACCAAAAAGCAATATTCAGTAATTTTTAAACGCACAAGTACAAAACAAACTATAACATATGCTCAAAATATCCACCACTATTTTCGATGCACACACGACACCTCCGAACCCAATTTTCGCATATTCGCTGGAAAACACTTCAAGAAAAGGAAATAGTGGTACTCAAAAAACACTCCGACACGGTCGAATCCAGATACCAACTGAATTGCGCATTGGTGGTTGCTGGACACCATAGTACCTCGTGTTAATAAACCGCCACGCCGTTGTCACATTGCTCGATATGAATTTAATTGAATATTAAGTTTATTACAACGCTAATTATTTTTTAGAATTAAGCATAAAGAAGTTCAAAAAAGTGATGAACATTGTATTTTATGGTATTCTATGCACGCAGTTATGTCAACATTCCTTAATTAATATAACTTTTGTACATCAAGTTGGAGATTTTAACAAATTTTTTTTTCGGAAATGGTTGAGTTTAGGACCCATGTCATATAAAGTTTTTTTTCTTTATTTTAATGTATTCTATCGTCTGTTAAAATTAAGGCAGCCAAACTTCTAACACCCTGTATATGTACTTGAAAACGCGAATATGTTTAGTTTAAATACTGACATCTAATTTTTTTATTTAAAGATGCGGTAAAAGATATTGCATTAGAGGGAGACAATATCAAAAGATTGATCTATTTGTGGACTGTATATATTTTCATTTTTCTACATATTAATAGTGATATAAGTATAGGGTTTAACTAGGACTTCAAATTTTACGCGTGCGGTCTAAGCTAATGGCCCATATTTCAAGAGCGGGATTTACTTCCCGGAAAATGAGAATAAAGATAACACGAAAGGGAAGCGCTAGACAGGACATCTGTAATGGAGGAGTTTGCAAGCGGAAGACAAACTTCTAGTCAGATCAACAAGGATGTTCAAGTCAAGGAATATAAAGTATCCAATCTGTTTCTCACTCGGATATAGAAAGAAAATAATTACGAATATAAGGTTGTATGTTTATGTTTTTGTTCAGGACAGTATGATGCGATTGGTTACATTTGCAAGAAATTTGCAAAAAATACTTGACACGTATTATTTTCGATTGTTTACAAATTATAAGTATAATTTTCAATCATCCCGAGTCAGAAAATGTTTCTTCTTATCAATTTCATCAGACAAGTTTAAAGAACTGATATGTATGTACCTATTAGGAAACTGTAATCATTACAATAAAACAAATAAATGCTAATTACCAATATACCAAATAAATAATCCAAAAGTCAAATACTTTAAATATATAAATTTAAAATAAAAAATCAGAGTATATAGTTATTATTTTCCACATA